AGAAACCTCAAAGTAATCTCAGGTAACTATCTGCCAGCCTCCAATATTAGAGGAAGAGTTCACCAGCACTGGGTGAGTTGTTTTCCTAGGGCCCCAAGTGAGAATCTGTAGCCTTCAAAGAACATCCCTTCCATTCTCAAGTACAAATGTCCATGGCTAGCTTACAGACTAGCGGGTGTTAACCTAAATTCAGATTCATATACTTTTTTTTTTTTTTTGGCTGAACCGGGGATTGAACTCAGGCCCTTGCGCTTGCCAGGGAAGCGCTTATTACACTAAGCCATCTCCCCGGCCCCTTAAATTCAGATTAAAGGCACACTAACAACACGATTTAACAAGACAAGTTTAGTAACTGGTGAATGTCAGGCTCCACTGTCAGGCTGAGCTTCTCACCTGTGTATTTCTGGGCTTTTCTTGTTTTTAGCTGCCTCCTGTTCAGCTCCTCTCTTTAGGTATTTAGTAAAACGTTCATGCAATGTCATTCCAGAGGATCCAAAGTGATGCTCTGTTGAGTCAAAGAAATACGTATTATTCTACCAAAGCAGACAAATCATTCAACTCTTGTATGCACCTTAGCTACAGTGATGTGGCTAGTCAAATCCATACAACAAATATTATGAGAGGGGGAAGAAAAAATGGCTGGTTCAGACACAATCCAATGTTGAGCATTTAATGTCTTAGCATAGCTCCCTTGTTTTAGGACATGGATAGAAAGACAAAAAGCTGGAGCTCACCTCCTAACTTCTGGTTAATTTTAGTTTGTTTTATGAGACAGGGTCTCAGTGTAGTTTAAGCTGGCCTTGAGCTCACTCTGTAGCCTAGGCTGACCTTAAACTCCCTCAGTGCTGGGACTGCAGGCATGTGGCACAATTTGCTTCCTGCTTGATTCTAAACCTCAGATGAGGGCCAGCCAAACAGCTCAGCTGATTAAAGCACCTCCAAGCAGGCACAGGGGCTGGGGGTTCAATCCCCGGGCCTGACATGCCGCACGGCCCCGCCCTTCTGGGCACGCTGAGATGGCGACTGAGACTGGGCATGATGGCACATGCCTGTAATTCCAGCTCTTGGGAGGCTGTCAACAGGCGGATCACTATGAGTCTGATCTAGTAGCGAGACCCTGAACACCCCTGTAGACCCTTCCCTAAAATATAAAAATAAATAATTAAAAAAAATAAACCTCACATGGAACATGTAAAGTAGCCCAACCCAGTTTTTATGGAACTTCTCTTGGCTATTCTTCAATTTGCCCACCTACATATGGTAAAATAATTCTTTTTTTTAGAAATTTATGGGGCTGGTAAGATGGCTCAGTGGTCTAAAGCACCTACTTAGAACAAGCTTAGCAAAGCACAGGGACCGCAGTTCAATCCCCCAGCACCACATGCCAGCCAGCCCCGCCCCC